TTCTGATTTTCCTGCCACGATCTCCTAAGTGCTGGAATTCTAGGCATGTGCTTTATGCCGAGCTCAAACGTGCCTTGTTCCAGAGGCAAGAGATCCGTAACCAAGTATTGCTTAGCTTAGCCCATGGCAATCCCGATAGCCATGAAGGTTGGTTACAGATGATTTAAGGTTGGGGTGTCTCTGACGACGGGCAACCTGTGGGGAAGACCCCTCCCACCTAAGACAGGGATTCAAGGTCCCCCAAAGACGGGAAAGGGAGGGTGACCCTACCTGACCTAAGCCAGGAGTGCCTCATTTGAAAATAAAAAGGGGTGAATTGTGGGAACACCAGACCTTGAGTAGAGACCCACTTCCCCTTCTGCCTGGGAGTAGGCAGCTATAAGACAATGTTTAGTAAAAACATGTTTACTAAAAACGATACAATAAGTTCCTGGAAAAGGCCTTCCCACGGAAACCGCCCTGACCTCGACCTTGTCAAAAGACTAACCGCACCTTCAAACCCACACACATCCACCTCTGGTGTCAGAGCGAACCAGCCAGGGTAGAGGAGAGAGCAGAAGCTTCTCTGGTGGGAGCTTTTCTTAGGAGGTTTTCTTGAACCTTTTTGGAGCCTGTTTAAAGTTTTCTTTATATCGTTGAACGAGTCTCTGTGTTGTCAATCCCCTCCGCACGTTCTCGGACACAGGCCGCGCAGCAGACGTGACATGTCACCATGCCACTTACATAGTACTGGGGGCTGAACTTAGGACTTTGAACCCCCAGGCAAGCACTCTACCAACCGAACTTAATCCCCAGCCAAAAAGCAGTCTACATTCATGAGACGCTCCATAGCTTTGTGCCTCCTTTTGTCTCTTTGTGACATGGAGCTGCTTCCGTTTGTAAAAGACAAATCTGTACAAGAATGCAAGTGGAAATTATTTCCTGTTGCTTCTACCTTAGAGGATGGGAGATAGCATACCTTAGCAATCTTAGATCTCCACAAACTTCATCTTTACAGACACTGGTCTTTGGGGGCAGCGACAGGGTTTAAAATTGGGGCAAGTATAATAGGAGAAGACATATTGTAAACTTATTATTTAATAAGAACATCAAACTTATACAATTTAGTTCACACACAAACTCGCTCTCTCATGGAAGAGAAGCTGAGGGTGTAACAAACCACTTACCCAGCATGCACAAGTCCCTGAGTTCAATTCCCAGCACTACAAAAAACAAACAAACAAAAAACAAAAACAAAAGTAGAAAAACAACTGTTGCAAAAAAATAAAAGACCCAGAGACAGGCCGGGCGGGCGTTGGTGGCGTGAGCTCTGTTACTTTTAGACTGATTCAATCTCCTGCAGCCCTGGGTGGCCTTGAACTCAGAGGGATCCATCTGCCTTTGTCTCCTGAGTCCTGGGATTAGAGGTGTGTACCACCACTGCCTGATCTCTATAACTTGAGGCTGACTTTGCTTTCTGAATCCTCAGGCAATCTCTAATAAACCATAAATAATGTATCACTATTAACAACAAAAATAGCTTTCTAAAGTTTAGACTGAGTAGGTAGCAACCTTGCCTGTGGTGACCACAGAGTGGGGCGATGCTCTTGGGTCTTCGGCTTGAATTGTGGCTCATAACGCAGTGTTTTTCTTCAATTCAGCTTGCTTCCAGAATATGAGTTTATCTTTTGTTTTCTGAGATAGGGTCTGGCTGGACTAGAACTTACTCTGTAGACTAGGCTGGCTTCAAACTCAAAAGATCTTCCTGGCCCTGCCTCCTGGGTACTGGGATTAAAGTCATGTGCTACCATACCTGATAGAATATGAGTGGAGATGGTCTTGTGTGGCCCAGGATAGACTTGCATTTGTGATCTCCTGCTGCAGCCTTATATTCTGAGTAGTTCTTGGTGGGTGGCATCATTTCTATCCCAGCCTAGTTACTGTTATCTCTGGATAGTGGTGTCTTAAATTGTGTAGTGCAAAACCTGGCAGCCTGCTATCAAAATTTTAATTATTGTCAAGCATGGTGGAACATCTGCAACCCTAACATTTTGGAGACAAAGGGAGAATTATTTTAAACTCTAGGTCAGTCTGAGCTACATATCGATGCCTCAAAAGCAACTGACAAAAGCCCAAACTTATTTGCTTTTGTTACCTTTGAGCCTTGGAGTTCAGAGTGCCGGGACAACAGACGTGCACTCCCATGCCTGGCGTTAGGATGACCTCTCACCCAGCAGGGAGGTAGAATATTATTTTAAGGTGTGACTTTTGTTTGTGCTCTATTTGTTTAACTCAGTGAAGCGGTGATTCTTCGCATGTCTGAAACACCTGATGATCCTGATAAAAGAGCTGAATGGCCAATAGCGAGGCAGAAGAAAGGAAAGACGGGGCTGGAAGGTAGAGTTAAATAGGAGCAGGGCATTTGGGAGGCAGAGGCAGGAGGATCTCTCAAGGCCAGCCTGGTCTACAGAACAAGTGCCAGGACAAGCTCCAAGGCTACACAGAGAAACACTGTCTTGAAAAACAAAACAAGGACCCCAGATTGATGGCTGTGTGGAAAGCATGGGACTGATCCAGATCCCCTGAATGTGGGTGTCAGTGAGGAGGCCTAGGTAATCTATGAGGCTTTGGGTTGCATTTATCCCTGGCATACAAATGGAATTTGGCTTCCCATACCACATTGAGGGATGCTCTCTCAGCCTGGACTCTTGGGGGAAGGCCTAGGCCCTGCCCTGGATGAAATGACAGACTCTGGAGATCCTCCATGGAGGGCCTCACCCTCCCTGGGGATTGGAGTGGAGATGGGGTGGGGGAATGAGGGGCCTGGTGGGAGGGGTAGGGGAGGAGGGCAGGGAGAGGGAGCTGGGATTGACATGTGAAACAAACTTAAATAAAAAAAAAAGGAGGGGGGAGAAAAACAAAACAAAAAATAGGAGGAACAATGAGAGAACAAGGAGAGGAGGATACCAGGGACCAGCCACCCAGTCAACCTCAGAATAAGAGGAATGTAAGGTATGAAGAAACAGAGAAAGAAAGTAAACAGAGGAAAAAAGTAAATGGGAAATTTAAGTAAAAAAAAAAAAAAAAGCTGGCTATAAGCAAGCCCAGCTAAGGCTGGGCATTTATAAGCAAGAATAAGACTCTGTGAGTGAGTTATTTGGGAGCTGGGTGTCTCCCCCCACACCAAAAAAAAAAAAAAAGAGTAAAAAACATCATACTATAACAACCACTCCGGCAGTGTGTCCATACCCTCCCTCAAATGAGATCTCTGCTGCCTTGGAAACCAGTCAGACATGTAAAGTGGACATTAAGAAGCCCAGGACTGGTCTGTGAGGCGCCCCTAACAGTGGACTCCCCAGTTTCTATCTGGTCCAGCAGCCAGGGCACACTACAAGTTCCGTTAAGTCTCAGGTGGGTAAACATTCCGTTTCACTGTTTCAAGCAGGCCGCGGGTGCTGAGACTTTCACTAGAAGACAGATGGGTTCGTTGTCTTGTCCACACATGGTTCTATTTACCATCTCACTAGCACTGACTTACCCCACTCAAAATTTTCCACCAGACTAAAAAAAATTTATTTGTGAAGAAGGAAATATCTTAAATACCCACTTAGCCTTTGTTTACACTGTTCCATTGTTTTCTCTCTGATGTAATGTGTTCAGTTTACCTTGCCTAGCCTCTGCTGTGTATTTGCATGAACTTTTTATTAACACATCTCCCAGCCCTTTGTAGTGTGGGGATGGAGCTCAGGGCCTTTCACAAGAGCCTTCTCCACTGGGCTAGAATCCCAGCCCCTAACTGTCCTTCAGTCAGAGGACACCAGAACCTGAGTGTACCGTTGCTCAGTGTGGATGTTCTGGAGGCTTCTAGTACAAAGTGCAGCCTGTAATACCTGAAACTGTGTGATGGTGTGCTGGACTCAGTGCACAGAGAACAAGGGGCAGCTACTAGCTCAATATGAATTTATCTGTAATCCAACAGAGCAAAAGCAAAGACAATACCATTTCTGCAGGCCTTAAAAACAAAACACCTGTTCACCACCCATCCCCCCACCTACCCAGTGGGAACAAAAGAGAGCCTGGTGGTCCCCTCCACTGAATGTCAATTCTTCCTCTCACTGAATAGATGGGAAGTGGAGGGCCAGGGCTCTCTGTGCCAGTCAGGTGTCTCTGGATGCATATTAAGCTCCTTGACACTGTTAAAGCCTTTGGGTTATGGTAGTTTTTTCCTCCTTGCCTGTAGTTTTCTATGCATTTATTTAGCATGTGTGAATTTGTGTATATGCATGTTTGTGTGGTTCATGTGTGCACGTGTGGAGGACAGAGGTCAACCAAAAGTCATGTACCTTGCTTTGACACAGTGTCCCTCCCAGAGACACTGGGCTGGCTGATGAGGCTAAGCAGGCTGGCCAGCAAGCTCCAGGGGTCCTCTCAGCTCCGTCTGCAGGGCTGGGATTACAAACCACCATCATGCCTCGTTTTTAAATGTGGATTCCCAGGATCAAACCTGATTTGTCTTCATGTTTGTGTGGTAAGCACTTTGTGGACTAAGGTCATTCCAGTCCAATTTTCAATTTTTAAAAAGATATCTCAGGTCCACGCTGTAGCAAGACTCTGTAATGACCCTTGTCTTTGAAAGCATAGAGACAACAGCACCCAGTAGGTCACAAAACACAGGTCCTGGGTGCCCAGTATAGGTCACAAATCACAAAAGGGTGTTCCTTTGACACTTAGCTGCTAAAGGGCTCTGAAGTATTCACACTTGGAGAGACATTTAGAAGCTACACCTCACAGTGCCATTTCAGACACAACGTCAGGTTAGCCTCTGGCTCTTCATGAAGCTTTTACCATAAATCCTTAGAATGAAGAGTGGGAACAACTCGTTTCTCCCTGGAAATCCTTTTCCTGTTCCTGAGGTTGTCGTCATGCACACATGGTGTAAGACATTCTAACAGATCGGGAGTACCATGGGGAGAAACAAGACACAAACCTGCAGAAATGAAGAGCCAGACCTGGGGACAGGGTAGGAGGTAACACACTTTTTCACAGAGCTGTTACACAGTGTGACTGTCCTCAGAAGCAGGCATAGGAAAGTAGACACTCAGCCACAGAAGAAAGCTGGGGGTCTTGGCCTGATAGCTTTAATGTCTTTGAACTGGTGGATGGTCAGGCACTTTTTCCAGAATAGGCCAAGGAAGACAAGTCCAGTTTGGTCTTTAAGGCTGCAGTCAGCTCCCTGGCCAGCAGCTCATGCAGGGACACGCCATCGTGGGAGTACACCCAGTTCTTCCCGGTCCAGTCATAGCGCTTGGGGCCACTGTAAAACAAAACGAATGTGTGTTAAGTCAGCAAGGACTGTCTGTCTTCAGGGGAGCCACTGTGTTTGCGCTAAACCAATCAATCCATCTTTTTCTTTTCGGTTTCCCCAGGGATGCAGAGAGAAACCCTGTCTTAAATACCACCCCCCAAAACAAACAAAAACAAAAACACAAAAATAATACCAGAGGAAACCAAAGAACATAAGAACATAGGTCTCTTCTACCCACCCTATGATCCTATGGCAAGGTGGTCAGGAAATACTACTATCTCCACAGGACCTCAAAAGTCTCCTTCTGAAATAAGAAATGATAACCATGGCCCTGTGATTCAGGGCACTCACTGCTCTTCCAGAGGGCTGGTTTGACTTCTTACACCACATTAGGAGGCTGACAACTGCTGTGACTTTAGCTCCAGGGGACCTGGCTCCCTATTCTGGCTGCTGTGGGCATGGACACTCACTCACACTTTCACCCATGGACATCTAAGTAAAAATTCCTTCCCCTGCCCATGCCATGAAAGCAACACAGCACCCATGATGAAGGGAGACTTAGGAGACTTCCCTCCAAGTCCCTCATTTAAATGGCAGCTTTTAAAGAGTTTGCTTGGAGTCTCTGTAAGTGATTAATTTCCCCATGGTGCATGTGAGCTGCCTGATATGGGTGCTGGGATCCAAACTCTAGTCCTCATGCTACAGCAGCAAGTGCTCTTAACCACCGAGTCACCTCTCCAGTCGCCCCGATATAGTTTTTGTTTGCTTGTGCACTTGTTGTGGACCTGGGAAACAATCCAGAGCCTTCTCTCACATTCTAGGCAAGTTCTTTGCCACTGAGCCATACCCTGGCATTTTTTAATTTTTTTAAACTGTTAATGCCATTAGGCTTTCAAAGAATTCCACACTGGTTTCTAGCTGAGCTTTTCCCACTTTGCATTCAAAATGTCTTCTTTGGTAGTACTTCTGAGTCTCAGCAAGCTTAGTGTGAAGGTTCTGTGTGAGCATCTCTGAGTGAGCATCTCTGAGTGAGCATCTCTGAGTGAGCATCTCTGTGTGAATGTCTCTATGTGAGCATCTCTGTGTGACCATCTCTGTGTGAGTATCTCTGAGTGAATGTCTCTATGTGAGCATCTCTGAGTGAGCATCTGAGTGAGCATCTCTGTGACCATCTCTGTGAGCATCTCTGTGTGAGTATCTCTGTGAGAATGTCTCTGTGAGAATCTCTGTGTGAGCATCTCTGAGTGAGCATCTCTGTGTGAATGTCTCTATGTGAGCATCTCTGAGTGAGCATCTGAGTGAGCATCTCTGTGAGCATCTCTGTGAGCATCTCTGTGTGAGTATCTCTGTGAGAATATCTCTGTGAGGATCTCTGAGTGAGCATCTCTGAGTGAGCATCTCTGTGAGAATCTCTCTGTGAGCATCTCTGTGAGGATCTCTGTGTGAGAATCTCTGTGTGAGCATCTCTGTGAGCATCTCTGTGTGAGTATCTCTGTGAGAATCTCTGAGTGAGCATATCTGAGTGAGCATCTCTGTGAGAATCTCTCTGTGAGCATCTCTGTGAGGATCTCTGTGTGAGAATCTCTGTGTGAGCATCTCTGTGAGAATCTCTGTGTGAGCATCTCTGTGTGAGCATCCCTCAGCTGTTCCCTGGCTGCAGCTCACTGTATGCTCACTAGTAAGTTCTTAGTTCTGAGACCCAGGCTGCCTGCAGTGCACCCTGATGTTCCTCCAACTGCAGGCACATCCACGGGGCAGGTAGGAAGATGGGTGCCATGGAGCTGCTGCTAAAATGTCCCACTGCCACAGAGGCTGAGCCCAGCTCTGTTAACGGAATTACTGAGACCTTCAAAACAGGCTGGGAGTTAAAGTTTAACTCACTTTGAGGACAAAGTGCAGGTTTCTCAGATGTTACAGTATAAAAAGTTCCTCCCTCTTTACTCTTCTTCCCTTCCATTTTGGGAATTGAATCTGGGGCTAATAGATTGCCAGACAGGCATTCTATTACTAAGATATACACCCCAGACTTCAAAGTAGCTTTCGAATTAATTAATGGTTTTGGTTTTTATTATATATATTAGTATATATATGTATATTTTAACCCCAGGTATGTGCTGCCATACATAACAAAAGGAGCTTATGTATCACCTTGGCAGACCTGGAAATCACTGTATAGACCAGGTTGGCCTGTTTGTTTTTGTGACAGGGTCTTACATGATAGCCCAGGCTAGCCATTGAACTGGCTGTGTTGGAAGGCTGGCACTCTGAACTACTGCCTCTGCCTCCTGAGTACTGAACTATAGAAATGTAACACTAGGCCTGCCAAAGTATCTTTTTTCAAAGGCAAGCCTCTGGGCAATGACAAAACAGAGAAAAACGGTCTGGGCCAGATTCTGAAAACTTTCTTTGCTTCACAGGTCTTGTCAATATCCTGATGCCTGAGGATAGGAACCAAGTTATCGGAGGGGAGAAACATTCAGCTGGAAGTGAGCCTTCCTGGGGAGGCAGACAACTGTAAAGCCATGGCAAAGCCAGTGACGGGCGTCCTCTCAAATGGTCCCCAACACTGCATTTCAGAAGAGTTCACTCCTTACAGATTTGACTTCTGAACATACCTGGAGGGAGAAGATAACCAGATCTGCTTGTTCGGGGTCTGCTTATTGATCACGTAGGTCCCTAGATCCCCGCCCAGCTTAATGGTTAGCACGCCGCCCTAGGGGGTCAGGGAAGAAAGTGTGAAGAAACAAACAAGATTGGTTAGCACAAGAGTATATGTACAAACAATTATTCCGATCTCAATGCCTTTCACGTATCCAAGGATATAATACACTGGTGCTGGGTATGCAGTGCACTGGCCGTATGTGTTCAGGAGCTGGGAAGCCCCCTGTTCAATTCTTGGCACCAAAACCACACAAAAATTAGTGTTCAGAACTAGGAATGTGTGTGGTAAAGAAAGATATTATCGTTAGGAAAGAAAGGTCAAGACTCGCCTGAGAGCTCCTGCCCTCCACTGCCAATCAGGACAGGTACAAACGCAGACCAAATTCTAATGGTGTCTGTCCAAGCTTCAGACCTGACAAGTCCATTATGAAAACACAGAAAGAAATGGTGTGATGGCAAGAATCTGTAACGTCAGTGCTTGGGGACCTAAGGGGGAGATCGTGAGCTTGAGGCCAGCAGGCTGCACACCAAAATGCAAAACAGAAAAAGATGAGAGAAGGAAGAAAGTAACCAATGCTCTGCCTCGTTTGTCTTAGAAGAGCAGGTGGGGCAGCCCCTGCCCACCTGCGTTATCCAGACCCTTCCCAGGCATCTAACAAGTGTTCATCCAAAAGGCTTCATTTCCACAGAAAGCCTTGCATTCTCACAAGACTGGCCAGTCCGTTTTTGTTCAATAAATGAACATTTGAATTTGAAAACACTCAACACGGGAACCCTCCACTCGAGAGGCCTTAGGCTCTTTAGAATGGCAGGCAATGAAACAATGGGCTGGGCACTAAGTACGCTATGGACACTGCCTGCATTGTGGCTACTGGTAAGCACGTGGCAGCCTAGTGCAACCATGCTTGCTTCGGGCTCTGCAGAGTGAGCGTCCAATCAGGAGTCTTGACACGATTTTCGCAGCACATCCTCACAAACATAGCCAGCCATTTAAATAAACGCTAGGGGCTGGGACCGATAACAGTATAACCAATAGGCATGGGAGGGGGACACTAGTGATTTCTCTTTCTCTCTCTGAGATGGGGTTTCACTAGGTAGCCGAGGCAGACAACAAACTTTTAATGTTTGGGCCTCAGTCTCCCAAGTGCCAGGATCACAGGCATGTGCCACTACTCCCTGTTTGTGTCCTCCTCCTCCTCCTTTTGAGATAACATGTGTTTCTTCCCCTGATTATAACAAAATAACAAACAAAAATCAAATAGAAAAAGAAGACAGGGAAGGAAGCCGTGGTTCAGTTGGGAGAGTGCTTGGCTGTGACACACAATGTTCTGGGTTCCATCCCAAGGTGCATCAGGCTTTGTAATCCCAGGTCTCAGGTGGCAGAAGATCAGAAGTTCAAGATCACCCTTGGCTACACTCCAGTTTGACGCCAGTCTAACTAAAGAACACCAAGCTATACCAAACCCAACCCCAAACCAAATCCATAGAGGTTCCTGTTAGAGTAGTTAGGGATACAGGCATAGAAACACAGCAAGACCCTCTCAGTGGACACACTGATTCCTCTTCACTTACAGCCGAGGGTGTGCCAGGATCTGTGTTTGGATGCACTCGGGAACTGTTTCCAACTAGACCATAGCTGTGGTGGTAGGAATCACTATCTCAATTTTACAAAAGTGGTCCAGGGTGGCAAAAACACAAAACAAACTATCAGCTACCAGCAGCGTTGATCTGAAATGCAGGGCTGCTTGGACTCAAAAACACTGTTTTTCCTGTCGTAACTGCTTGTTCCTTCTGAGCTGCTGGTTTATGTGTTGTCTCTCTTTATCTTGGAAAAAGAAACATCAAATTTGCCTATAACTAAGTCACACAGTACAGCAGTACTGAGTATATTCACACTGTTACTCTGGAGCCACTCAGAAATCTGTTCACCTGGAAAAACTGAAACACTGTACACATTCAATGTTAATGCACCCCAACCGCTGTGCACATGGGATGCTAATTCCCCAGATCTCAGCAGTTCCTCAGCACCTGGCTCTTCATCAAACTCTACAGTTTCATGCTCCCCCTTGGGCTAACAGACTCAATGGAACCACATGCTCACCTCTGACTTACATACGTATCCGTGGTTCATAAATGTCCCCCTGTATTTTTCTCCCTACATGCTGAGGCTTGGTGGTCCAGTCAAATGCTAACTCTCCAGATGTGACTTCCAAGTCCACTCTCCTTCCCAACCAGCCCCAGCCCTGTAGAAGTAACATCACTCTGGCCTGGCTCTCAACATCTGGCTTGTCTCCTCACGAACTCTGCTCAAGGACTCCACAGCTGCACCTGGGCACTATTAAAATGAGTGACCACACCAGGGACAGCCCACTTAACCACTGCATCCTCAATTTACTCTTTCTGAGCCCCATCTTTGGAGGGATCTGGGAATGCATATTAATTAAGCAGATGTGTGCTCCCAAGACAAAAGAGGCGAAAGCCAGCCATGGGAGACCCAGCTCCACAGTGCTACAGCTGTCCTCTGGCATCTTCCCGGTAGGCCCTGCTTGCTCCAGGCCCTGTGTCTCTGAGAAGGTTGTCTGGGGCTTTCCACTTGGCACAGCCCTGCAGCGTCTCCCACTTTGAACTATTTAGCATGACTTATGTGTGAAGGAGCCTGTTGTCCCTGGCTCCCATTTCCACTATCTTGAGTCCGTAGGACGAGGCGACTCTGTTAGCACCTATACGCTTCCACCCAAACCCAGGATGGATGTAAGCGTGTTTATTATATTCGTGGATGAATGGACCGGTGGACAAACAGTGACCAAGGGGACCCTGTGGAACTACCTGCCAAAGTGAAGGGCAAGGTTACCAAGGCAGAGATCACAAAGCTCAGTTCCCTTTCCCCAGGGGGCTGGAGAGATGGCCCAGAGGTTAAGAGCACAGGCTGCTTGCTCTTCCTAGAGGACCTGAGTTCAATTCCCAGCACCCACATGGTGGCTCACAACCATCTCTAATGAGATCTGGTGCCCTCTTCTGGCAGGCAGGCATGTGTGCAAGTAGAACACTGTATACATAATAAATGAATAAACCTTAAAAAAAAAAAGAGTTCCTTTATTGGGGACTGGAGAGATAGCTCATTGTTTTGACTGTTCTTACAGAGGACCTGGGTTCAATTCCCAGCACCTGCATGGCAGCTAACAACTGTCTTTAACTCCAGGACCTGACACCCTCACACAGACATACATGCAGGGAACACAACAATGCACATACAATAAAAATAAATAAATTATTTAAAAAAACACTTCTTCCAACATCCCATAGTCTCCACCTTCTCTCATCTCTCCACTGTCCCCTCAACAGTCCACTGAATCATAAATCTATCAGCAAAACAATTCTTCAGTTAGGTCAGGGGCCTCATGGTCCAATCACCTCTCAGTGACACCACCAGCTGGAAACCTGGCCTTCAACACAAGTCTCTGTGGGGCATGATGGCGGGGAAACACAACACCGAGCAATTGCTATGGCACAGTGACCAATTGGAGGAGAACCTCACACCAACCAGCCAATCAGAGGAGAACAAGTCCCAGCTGGCCAGGCTTACTGATTTGTGCTAGTGCAGATTAGCCCTGCCCTTTCAAGGACAAAAACTGCACACTGTTGTCACTTGGTCATCTGAAGAAATAGGCACATGGGAGATGTCATGTTGAGCCAGGGACCTTCACATACATGTGACTTCTCATTAAGAAATAAAATGACTTCGAAAATTTTTTTTTTACTATTTCCTCTATCATTTAACAACCATCTGCCCTACATAATCCTATGATTTACTCCAAAATGCATACTTCATGACATTTCCTACTATTAATTAATTGTTGTCAAGAGGATTAACCTCTGCCTAGATTGCGGTGGTGGTGGAGGGGGAATGGGTAAGAAAAGGAGGGGAACATTTTTCTCCCAATGGTAAAGGCCTGAGCAGACCCTTGCTTAGTCTGCCACCTGGTGGCCAGCATGTAAACTTCTTTAGCTTCCAGTGACTGGGGTAATACCATCCAACTCAGTTCTCAACCATCCTGGGGGACCATCTGCACATCCATTCCTTGCCTAGAGCACACCGCACACTAATTAAATCAAAATTTCTAGAGGTTGGACTCAGGGCTTTGCATCAGAATTCCAGGTGATCCAGGGTGTGGTGGTGTATACGTAGTTCCAGTGGATCTCAAGGCCAGCCTGGTCTACACAGCAAGCTCCAGACAGCCAGGTCTACACAGAGAGACCCTGACTCAAACAAAAGCAAACACCAAACAAACTAACCCCCCCCCAAACTCAGAATGGGCTGCTTCTTGAGGTAAGCAAGCAAGGGGCCACATATAGAGTGTGAACTACTCCTGGGCAATTGTCCACGTTGGATCCTGGAAATCTATTCTTTATTTTTTAATACTAGGGCTGGGTGAAGGGCTCCTTCCCTAACTATTCACCCCAGGGATACCCACACAACCCCTGGGAATCTGTTTTTAAACAGAAGAGGTCCAGAGAGGCAGAACTCAAAGTCACTGACAGAGCTGGGCTGTCACATGAATCCTAGCTTTTAAGACTCAGCCAGTCTATGTTGCTAGATGGTTATGTCTGTTGGAGGCTATTTTTTATCTGTATTATTATTTCTTAAATGCACTTATTATTATCTTGAATGCTTGTGTATGAGGAGGGCGTGTCCACTCGCATGGCATGGTGTGGAGTGGTTTCTTCTTCCCCCCTGTATGTGGGTTCTCAGAATTCAACTGAGTTTATAAGGTTTTGGGGGACAGCAGCTTTACCCATTGAGCCCTCCACCATTCCCCCCATTTTTTTTTGAGTATGTAGTGCTGGCTGGTCTACACCTCACTGTGTAGACCAAGCTGGCCCTGAACATTCAGTGATCTTCCTGCATCTACTCTAGACTATAGAGTTACAGCTGTGTGCTGCCTTGTTTTAGTAAGTTACAGTTAACTGTGTATTGGGATGTTTCTTTTTGTTGCTTGGTTTTTTTTTTTTATTTGTTTTTTTTTTTTTGAGATAGATTCAAAGAGGAAGACCTTGAATTTCTAATCCTCCTGCTTCTACCTGCCGAGAGCTAGGATGACAGGGATGTGTCACTATGTTCAGCTGTATGCAGGGCTAGGGGCTGAAGGCAAGGTTTTGTGTGTGCTAGGGAAGCACTCTACCAACCCAAGTCTATCAGACTAAGTCACAGAATCTTTGTTTGTTTTTTTTTTTTTTTTTTGAGACAGTTTTTCTGTGTAGCCCTGACTGTCCTGGAACTTGCTCTGTAACCAGGCTGGCCTCGAACTCAATGATCTATCTGTCGGCCTCTGACTCCTGAGTGCGGAGATTAAAGGCATGCACCACTACCACCCATCTAAGTTACAGCTTTTAGGAGGAAACATAGAATAAAAGAAGGCAAAAGGTACCCCAAAGGAGACATCGTAGTCCTCCAGGGTATAGGGTTTGTCTGCAAGGTCTTCAAAGAACTCTGCCAGGGCGTCCAGCGTCTCCTCTGCAAGTCTTTCATAAGCTGTCTCATCTAGAGAGCTGCAGGAGGAAAGAAACCCACCAGAGCATGGTCACCAACCGCACATGGCCACCAACGCACCATCACAATAAATACATACAAACTGAAAAGAAAGCATGCCTCCCAGCAGAAGTAAACAGCTGGCAACAGGGAATGTGGGTGAAACCCAAAACCCTAGGGATCCTGCTCTGCCAGTCATCCTGCGTCTCTGCTGGTTAGTACCAAGATCATGTACCAACTTTTATTTCTGTCTTGTCCTGCAGTCCTGACAGGCTTCAAACACAGGGCAACACCTGGGCTCTCCTCAGCCTCATTAGTGTTGACATCACAGTCGTGAGCCACCACACCTAGCCTTTCTCACTCATTTACTTTTCATTTATATTTTTATTATTTATTTTTTAACTGAGAATTGAGTGTATTTTGTTAATGATTTATTTATTTTTATTTTATGTGCATGGTGTTTTCCCTGCATGTACATCTGTGTGAGGGTGTCAGATCCACAGGAACTAGAGCTACAGACATTTGTGAGCTGTCATGTGGGTGCTGGGAATCGAACCTATGTCCTCTGGAAGAGCTGCTAGATGTGAGGTTGGAGCCTCCAGCTTTTCATACAGGATCTGAGAAGCCCTATCTCTCTCCAACCCCTCCCTCTCAGAGAATTTCCAAAACAACAAATGCATCAAAAAGTTCAGTTCTGCATTTCTGGCTCCTCCCCTGAAGTTGCCACCAGCCCAAGTCCTCATCTAAAGTGTTCAGTTTTTGACCATACTTGGGTACAAATCCAGCTTGTGGCAAACACACGTCATCATCTCTCACTTATAAGCTATATAACCTTCTTGCTTTAGTTCTGGGCATGACTTTTCCTGCCTTGATTTCTGGGAATGGAGAACTCACCCAGGAGTTGCTTTGCACAAATAAACCTGTTCTTTTACTTTTTCAATTTGGCTTGATCTGGCTTATGGCGTCGGGGGAGAAATCTATTATCTAGACACAGAAAACCTATTAACAGTCAGTGCTCTTAACTGCCAAACCATCTCTCTAGCCCCTCATTTATATTTTTAAAATAATGGGAAATATCTAGCATGTGCAGAGAAAAAAACTTCAAGTTGCATGAAACAAGTTACAAGAGAAGTAGCCTCTTTCCTAAACAACCACCATCCCAAGAGGTGGCTGCATTTGATAAGTCATTTCTGTGTTCTTCTAGACTATTAAAATTTAAAAATATAAAAATGAGCCGGGCGGTGGTGGCACACGCCTTTAATCCCAGCACTCGGGAGGCAGAGGCAGGCGGATCTCTGTGAGTTCGAGGCCGGGCTGGATCGACAGCCTCCAAAACAATACAGAGAAACCCTGTCTCGTAAAAACAAAAACAAAAACAAAACAACAACAACAAAAAAGAAGTACCTTGTCTGTTTTTCTTTAAGACAAGGTCTTCCTAGGTAGTTGGCTTTGAATTTCTGATCCTCCTGCCTCAGCTTTTCAAGCAGCTCCGATTACAGGTGTGTACTACTGTGTCTACTTCATTATATTTTCTTTATTTCACACACTCTCTTCTGCTGGACACTGAGGCTGCTCTTTTCATTGCTTTTGTTACTAAATTTTTGTTGAGCAAGACACAACATGGGAAAAAAATGTTTGTATTGCATGTATCTGAAAATGGACTAATCCAGAATACAAATAAATAAAAAGAATACCCAAAAGAAAAATGGGTAAAACACTTATACAGATTTCATAAAATATATCCAAATGGCCAGCCAGCACTTAAAAAGATAATTAATATTTTTAAAATGAAGGTTAAAGAATGAGTTTTGAGTGGTGGCACACGCCTTTAGTCCCAGCACTTAGGAGACAGGAGCAGGTGGATCTCTGTGAGTTCCAGGACAGCCAGGGCTACACAGAGAAACCCTGTCTCAAAAAACAAACAAACAAACAAACAAACAAAATAGCTATGTCATGAAAGACATAGAACGAGGGGCAAGCAGAATACCTTTAATCTCAGCGCTCCTGAATTGAGGCAGGAGGAATGTGAGTTCAAGGCTAGCCTGGGTTATACAGAGATTCAGTCTAAAACAAACAAATAAAAGACCCCAACTCCGTGCACGTTGCTATGACTCCACAGACTCAGTTGATTAGTAGTTTCTGAGAGCAGAGGAGGGATGGCCAGGACTAATGAAGGGCACAATCTGAAGTAGTGGACAGTCCCTGGATTTTTTTTTATTTTTTATTTTTATTTTTTGTTTTTCGAGACAGAGTTTCTCTGTTTTGTTTTGAAGGCTGTGCTGGAACTCGCTCTGTAGATCAGGCTGGCCTCGAACTCACAGAGATCCGCCTGTCTCTGCCTCCCGAGTGCTGGGATTAAAGGCGTGCGCCACCACCGCCCGGCCCATTCCCTGGATTTAGATAGTGGTGACAGCTGTAGAAGCCGATGAATACTAACACCTCCGAATTATGACCATAAACTATTGCTGCACAGGGAAGTGGCTCAGAGCTGGATATGAATGTGCCATGTATAAGGGCCCGTGTCCAATCCCCAACAACAAAAAGAAAGAATGTGCTGCGGTCTTCCTTCTGTGGCCCTTTGTGCCCCAGTAAGGGTACACACCGGTTATGAGACAGCCACTGGGCAGCTCCACTATCCAAGAGGTTCCCAGGGACCCACAGTGGCTGCTGGGTACTAACTGCATCTGATCCATCCTTTACCCAGCCCACCCCATTGCCAGGGTACAACAGCGGAGGCCATGAGACCGGCTAGGATGGTAGGAGCTGTAACTGAAGACAGTGGTTGACCTGACCTGATAGGCTGTGATGGACGTTTTGGGGGTGAAGTGGAGAGAGTGAAGAAGAAAGCGTGTTGGGGTGTCTTGAAGAACCCTAGGGACGGTTGGAATAGCCTTTCTAAAAAGTGCATTTATTTACTATTTATTGGTGTCTGCACGAGCACGTGGCATTGCAGGCGTGTGGAGGCAGAGACAACTGTGTGGGTCATTCCTCCTTCCGCTTTTCCATGTGTCCCAGAGCCCAAACTCAGGTTGCCAGGCCTGCATGATAAGTGCCCTTACCCACCGAGCCACGTTGCCTGCCCAGGAGGAATATTCTTCTGTATGGTGGCTCCCTGTCATGTCAGTAGGTACTAAGTCAGGAGACGACTGGCCTGTTCGTAAGGAGATGGAAGGAACTAGAAGGACTACTTTGGGATTAACAGTTGCTTAATGATGGAAGAATCAAAGGGGCAATCTACACCAAAGGCTTCTGGTAGCCAAGGGGGGTGTGTATGTGTGTGTGTGAGGTGAGGCAGGGGGAGCTTGACTCAGCTGTACCAACCAAACTAAGGGCATTGTGAATATTACATGACCTAAGGGGACCTGCCCTTCAAGCAGAGAGCGGGCATGGAGGTATGTAAAAGGGAAGGCAGCTTTCAAGTAGGAAGACATCTGGACAAAGCGGTGGCATACTGGTCTGAGAGTAAGCAGTCAAGAGCTCATAGATGTCTCAAATCCACTACCAAGAAAAGAGTCTGGCCGGGCGGTAGTGGCGCACACATTTAATCCCAGCACTCGGGACTCTGTGAGTTCGAGGCTGGGCTGGATCGATAGCCTCCTAAACAATACAGAGAAACCCTGTCTCGTAAACACCAAAAAAAAAAAAAAAAAAAAGAAGAAAAGAGTCTGGCCTAAAATCAGTTGACTGGACCCTTGAAACAGCTTTTGGAGGCACAGAGTGTTGTCATCAGACAGTGGGCTCTGATGGCTGCTTGCCCTCAAGGACAGCGTGCTTCCCACTGGCTGTCTTCCTTACGTCTGAAAGGATGATGGGCAAGGCGAGGCTCACCCACGGCTGGGGCCAGTGACTCTGGTTTGCCAAGGCAGAGCTTGTCCCAGGTTGCCCAGCGGCTATCAACTGCTGCCAAGGACGGCAATGAAGCTATGTCTCAGTGGGAGGAATTATTTTGGTTATTAGAGAGAGATAGAGAGAAAGGGGAAGAGAGGCACACACAGAGGGAGGGAGACAGGTGCAGACAGACAGACACAGGGGGCATTCCTATAGCTTAGAGATAGTACTGAACATCAGTCAGGAATCTTGGGCTTCAGAGTGGATACAGAGACCCCCATGTGCCTTTGGTTGGGGCTGGGGATACCTCTGCATGTGAAAGGAGGGTCCTGTAGATAACCAAGTAGTAAAGGGGCTGCCTGAGGCAGTGCTGATTCTACAGGGAATCCAATGCTGTTTTCCCAAAGACACTGTAGGTTCATTTCCAGTTTCCTTAAGCAACTGAGCTTGGTCCACTGGAACCAGAGTGAGGGACAAGTGCCCTTTTTAGCCTTTCAAAACTTCCAGATCTTCTTACCAAATGGAACCTGAGTAGGATGGCCTAACCTGGACAACAAACTATGAGATAGGGGCCAGCTGGAGGCAGGAGGCAGGCTCCCCAAGTCATGTCATGGAGGAAAACTAGCCTTCAACAGGCTGGAGAAGCACCGTGTTTGTGGTCTATTATAGCTGTATGGCCTTTGTGGTGGTTTGAATAGCAATGGCCACCATAGACCCATATGTCTGAATGCTTAGCCCACAGGGAGTGGCACTATTTGGGGGGTGTGGCCTTGTTGGAGGAAGTGTGTCATTGTGAGGCAGCTTCGAGGTCTCATATGCTCAAGCTGTGCCCAATGTGATACACAGTCTCCTGCCTGCCTGCTGATTACGATGTAAACATACCAGCTCCTTCTCCAGCACCATGTCTGCCTGCATGTTGCCATGCTTCCCAACAAGATGATAATGGACTGAACCTCTGAACTGTAAGCCACCCAATTAAATGTTTTTCTGTGTAAGAGTTGTCATGGTCATGGGGTCTCTTCCCAGCAATAGAAACCCTAAGACAGCCTTCGTCAACTAGGATGTTGGAGAAAATAATAAAACTCTGGGGGGGAAAACCCTAAGTATAAAACAATAGGAACGAATTAGAGGAAGTCTGGGATATCCACACAATAACACTAGTCACTAAAAGTAGCATGGCAGATGCTCAGTGACCTGGAACAATGTCACTAAGGGTTGTTTCCAGGGAGAAGACAGTTTCTACATGGGAAGAGAGGGAGAGGAAGAGATGCCTGAGGTGGAGGTGTTTTCTTCTCACCTGGGGTTGTCCAAAGTTCCTGACTTCCTCAAATGCACCACACAGATACTCTGCTTTTTGATGTTCAGAATCTGATCGAGGTAGCGGAAGTTCAAACTCTAAAAGCAAAGTTAAGAGCATTAATGACCACATCTTAGTCTACTGTAATCCAGCAATACATGATTTACAGACCAGCACTTTTAGATTCACAAGAGGCCACATGACAACACCTCAGGGACAATTCTTAGGATTTGCTGCCCCCCCATCACCCCCTAATATTTTCCTATGGGCCTTCCCAGTCTCTCTGCTAAGCCTGTGCTATCTGATAGGATAGTCATGAGACACAGGGGGCTCTCTGTTTTTTGTTTGTTTGTTTTCAAGACGGGGTCTCTCTGTGCAGCCTTGGCTGTCCTGGAACTCCCTCTGTAGACCAGGCTGCCCTTGAACTTACAGAGATCCTCCTTTCTCTGCCTCCCGAGTGCTGGGATTAAAGGCATGTGCCACCACTAATTTATTGAGATAAAATAGAATGTGGTCCTTAGCTGTGATGACTCCATCTCAAGTGGCCATGACTGAGTAGCACCAGGCAGACCATCTCCCCGATGGTGGTACTGCTGCAAGTGTTCAGGAGATTTGGTGGCTCACTAGAGACAGGGAAGCAACCAGTACCCCTAGAATTTGACTAAAAAAAGGCATTGGAAAATAGCAAAAGGCAGAATTCTGCTAAAGTCCAAACAAGAGCTGACTGGCCGTGTCTGATGGATTCTTCCAGCAAAGTGTGACCTGTGAATTTTTCTTAGTCCCTAACTGCAGGGCACTGGGCAATGGCACGTGTGCTGATTATGACCAGATGAGATTGAGTGGGAAGCCAGAGAACAGTGGTGTAGTCTTAGCCCAGGTGGCAAGTGTGTGCGTGCGTGTGTGTGTGTGTGTGTGTGTGTGTGTGTGTGTGTGTGTGTGTGTGTGTGTGTGTGGTGCTGGCATGAGGTGGAGAGAGACGATGGAGTGAGGCTGAGGTGACCACAGGGCTGTGAAACAATCGTTGTGACTTCATTCTGGCAAGGCAAGAAATGTTAATGTTAAGACTTACGGTCTCAAAAGGCTACCCTGGCTGCCACGCAAAGGGTCAGAGACAGTTACTGCTCTTGAGCAGGCGTTGACTGTGGTGAGCTCAGAAAAGGGAAGACAGAAGGCTCAGGGTTGGAAGAGAGGTAGGATAAGGTAGGCGGCATGTTTCACAGTGTGTGTGTGTGGGGGGGGAGGGGCTCTGAAGACGTGATGACAACAGTCCCAATAACCACAGCCCCAGCTACCACATGTCCTACAGCATTCTCTATCTGCCTGGCACTGCTCTGTCTGTAGCTGACCGGACACTGAGTCCTCATTATAACTCCATGAGGGAAGGACTTCAGCAGCAGCAGCAGCTACTTAAAAAAAAAAATGCTTATTTTTTATTTTGTGTGAGACTGGGCATATGAGTGTTCACAACATGTGTGCAGGTGCCCTTGGCTGGAAAAGAGGGCGTCTCATTTCCATTAACTGGAGTTGTGGGAGGCTGTAAGCTGCCTTACATGGGTAAGTGTGTTTAAATGCTGGGCCATCTCTCCAGCCCCCCCTCCATCGCCGCCATCATCAGGAGGGGGTGTTTCTATAAAGTTGCTGTTTGTTCAGGTTGGGTTCCTGAAGGGCCCCGAGTCATAACATCAAATGGGTGATGCATAATCTGGTTTGGCATGTGCTTCTCTTTAAAGATACTTTATTTACTATATTACTGATTAATTAATATTGAACTCGAAGCAATAGCACTTATAACCTATGCTGGAGTGAAGCGTATCGGACACACATTTTCTCTGTAAGGCATGTCACAGTCTCACTGTGTTTACTGTAGCTCTAGGCTTGGGGATCACTTTCAACCAACAAAATCACCAAGAAGTACATAAATATGAAAACATGTCACTGAACACATGAGCATTTGCTCACACTGAGAACAGTGGAAGCAAGCAGAACAAAATGCCTTGCTGGGCCACTCCTGGGAACACCCTCCATGGGTCTAGAGCATTTTGTCACTTCATAATCACTCCAAGAGCATCAAGGTTGACAAGTGGGGACAATGAATATTAGTGAGTCAGAGAGGACCCAATCTGAGGATAAAGGTGGGCGGTATTTGTATTTTACAGGTGAAGAAACCGAGATGCCAAAAAGAAAGTTGCGCAGGCTCACAAAGATGCAGAGATCCAAACTGCACAGCTGGAACTGGAGCCCAGCTGTCAGGCTCCAGGCAGGGGAAGACTCAGATGGCTGGAGAGCAGAACAGGACTGTAAACATCCACATCCGGGAGAGCGTTTGGGAAAGCGGGGGTCCTGGCTGTCTCTCTCACACTGCCCCGCTGCTATTTGTTTTAAAATTTTCTTTCAGTATTAAGAAATGAGGCCGGGACTTCTCCAATGCTAAGTGACTACCTCTCCCCTGAGCTGTACAGCTAGCCCTGTTTTGTTTTTTATTTTTTTAAAGGCAGGATCTCATGTATCCTAGGCTGGGTTTGAACCTGCAGAGAGTACTAGCCCGCAACAGCACCACCACGGGGAGATGGTCTGTCTGGTGCTCCTCAGCCATGGCCACTTGAGACGCAGTCAGCACAGCTGAGGACCAAATCCTGTTTTATCTCAGTAAATTCAGAGAACTCCACCTTTTCCACAGCTCTCCTTTTTCCTGGAATGCTCCTCCAGTCTGCTCCTTTGTCATCTATCAAGTCCCTCTCTGGGAAGCCTGCCATAACCCCACTGCTATCCTCTGGGTGCTCTCTTTTCAAGCCGTGTAGTAATCTATTCTTTCTTTGCATCTTCAAGAATTTATCTGAAGTGCTAAGGCCTTTGTGAACATAATTTAACACTCCCGCCAAAATCGCAAGATGGGTGTTACCCTTTAATCTCTCCGGTACAGAAAGCCAGGCCCTGCCCCCAGAGAGCCAGGATCCCCCAAGGTGACAGGGCTCTTCAGAGCCGCAGACTCGCTATGTGGAACCGAGGTCCCGTCATTTTCCAAAAGCTGGAGCCTAGGGTCCTCACCTGTGATCGCAGCACTCCAGAGGAGGCAGGAGGATCACAAGTTTGAAGCCAGCTTGGGGTACACAGCCAACTCTAGGCGAGCCAGGGCTACAGAGTGAGACAGGTACACAAAAAAGAGCCGTATTCCAGGCTCCTCCACAAGCCCTGCTCGCCCCACGCCACGCAAACGACAATTGGTTCGGAAGCCCAGGCTTCCGTGATTCTGCGCGCTACCTTCGGAGTACACGCAGCAATAAACACGCCTGCGTGTGTTAACTACTAGAACTGAAGTCTTCATAGAGGAACAGACTGCGGAGATCCCCGTGGGCACTCATCATCCCCACAGCTAACTTCCCACCCGAGGACGGAAGCCCGCGCAAACGCCGCGCGCGTGTCCAACCAGGGCGTCCCGGCGCATGCGCGCGGTGCGCGTCCCCGAGCGTCGAGGCGGGCGCGGCCTGCGCTCGGCAGTGTGGCCGCACCAGCGCGCATACTCACCGGCTGGCGGCCGGCAGAGGCCGCGTTGGTTGTGACGTGCAGGCCTCGGTGGCCGCAGGCTCCCATCGGCTCCCTCCCGCGCGGGATCCCGACCGAGGCCGAGGCCCCGGACGCCGTCCTGGGTAGCAGGCCCACGGCCGCGCGCCGTCCGAGCGCCCACATACCGCTCCGGCTCTGCGGCCGCTTCGCCCCGTGCGCGAGGACTCGGTGGCGCCACCTGGTGGCGGTGACCTGAAAGCGCCGCGGCTGGGCTCCTGAACGCAGATCCGCTGTGAGGACGACGTGCCCAGCACTGCACTGTGCACACGTTTAACCAGAACCCAGAGCCTGCTCTGTGCCAAACATGCAACGCATCCCTTGGGCAACAAGAGTGTGTAGATACTGACCTCGGCGCGTTTATTCACTAACAACCATTTTATTGAGTGCCAGCGGGCGATTCTGAAGACACGCTGATGAACAAGATAGTCTTGTTTTCAAAAAACTTAGTTCTCTCCCTGAACGTGGGTGTCAGCTGGGGGGCTTTGGCAGTCTATGGGACCGCTGGCAGTGGAACCAGTATGTATCCCTAGTGCATGAACTGGCTTTTTGGAGCCTATTTCCTATGGGGGGGTTGGTGAGGGCCTTTGTCCTGCCTCAAATGATGTGATAGACTTTGATGATTCCCCCCTGGATAGGGGTTGGGTGGGATGGGGAAAAGGGGAGATCATGAAGGGAGTGGGAGGATGTGAGGGAGAGGTAACTGGGATTGGTATGAAAAACTGTTCCGGGACAGCCAAGGCTACACAGAGAAACCCTGTCTCGAAACCCTAAACCAAACTAAACAACAAAAACCTAATGTTACTGAGAATAAATAAGAAACAGGACTAATTTAAATAAATGATTGCCATTGAAACTTGGCCAGAAGAAAGGAGGTTGGAATCTATTTGCTGGAAATGGCTCCCAGCTTCAGGGCCCTATGTGGTAGCATTTGGCGAGGGCTCTCATTTCTACAAAAACCAAACTCTTCTTGGAGATTTGTTTGAGGGGCGATGAGGAGAAAGGCAGGTGGTGTGGCTGGGATAGCAAGTTATTCTTTTCTGGTTTTTGTTTGTTTTTGAGACAAGGTCTCACTATGCAGCCTCGACTGGCCTAGAACTTGCTCTGCAGACCAGGCTGGCCTCAGACTCCCAGAGATCTGCCTGCCTCTGCCTCCCACGCACTGGAATTAAATGTGTGTGCTGCCACACTTGGCATGTTTGGCAAGTGCTCTGTCACCGAGCTACACCCTAGGTCCTGAGATACTGGCTTTAGGCGTGCTTGTGTTGATGAAGGAACTGGGGTGTGTATAGCTCCTATCCCTCCCTCAAGGAAGCTCTGGGGTATGATAGAAGCATGCACAGCTTTGCTGCTTCAGCAGCTACGTCTACACAGCATAGCATTCAACAGGAGAGAAACACACTCCTCATGGATACACCAAGGAAGCCAGGGCAGCAACTAAACAGGACTGAAGCATGGAGGGTGCTGCTTCCTGGCTCGCTCCACATGGCTTGCTCAGCCCGCTTTCTATGCAAGCTGCCCAACGGGCGTTAAAGTTAATCAGAGAAGTATAAGGGGCTGAACCGTGCCTCCAAATTCCTTCCAGAAGATCCTAAGCCTCAGTTCATTCTGAACAATACTGAGTTTACACCAAGGGCCTTAAGAGAAGTGACTGAGGTTACTGGGGGGCCGCAAAAATGAGACCTAAATCCAATGTGTGCTTGTCTGCATAAAGGGAGGTTGAGGTGGGGGGGGGTCATAGCGCAATAGTACACAGAGCTCTCGGTTTGATTGCAAGCTCCACAAAAAGAAAAGGCAGGTGTAGGTTACCACCCCACAAGTTGTTTAGAGAGGTCCAACCCCCCCATTACAGCTATTGTCATTGCTCTTCGTTGTCCACTAGAACCTATTTCTGAAGACTGCACACACTTTGTACTGCCGGGGGTTAGCTTAAGTCAAACATGGGACCATGGTCCTTGGATAGGATTTCTCAATAGTAGCCCTTTGACTTTGCTGTGGGGTTGCAGCAATCATTGATTCTAACCACTAGGTGGCAGTATTATCCACTCCAGATCCAGTTGCCCCAGACACTAACACTGTTTTAGTGTAACTTTGAACTAAAGACCTATAGCAATCTTTCTTTAAAAACTTATTTCCCGTTTTAGATAATTTTCATAGGCCAACTCCCTTCAAACTTGTATATTTATATTATATTTTGAGTCAGGGTCTTGCTAGGAAGCCCAGGCTGGCTCAGAATTCCCCATTCTCATGCCTGCAGCTCCCGAGAGCTGGGATTATAGGCGTGCGCCTCCATGACTGCTCCATACTTCATTTCTCTGAGTTTTGGTTTCCTCCCTGTCAGATAGAGTGAATGTCTCAGGGCTTTGCATGAAGATGGGATGAACAGCATGTGAGAAACAGCAGTCATTAAGGGTGGGTCACATGCAGGGTCAGGTGGCGGGTCTGGATGTTATTTAAGGGACACAGTCCTATACCTGTGAAAGTGAGGGACAGAAAGCACTCTTCATAGCTCTACAGCTTGGCAGGCAGAGACTTCAGTCTGGGGCAGATCATGGAGAATCCAGGGTTCTGTACCTGGAAGTGGTATTTGTCCCCAGTACTGGAATAGGGTGCTTTTGTATACAACTCAGGAGCACCTCCCACGGTGGGCTGGGCCCTTCTACAGCAATCATTAATACAAAAACAAACACAGAAAAACCAACAACAACAACCAGCTAGCACAAGCATCCTTCTCTTCCTTCTCTAACCCGACAAGTCATTATAAATAGTGACCTCTGCTGAGCTGCTTGGCCTCAGGGCACAGTACTCTGTCTTCTTCACCCCAGGCAGGAAGAGCAGGCAGTAACTGCAGCCTCCTGTTTCCCAGGTTCCTCTTATGCAGTTATTATTCACACCTAGATGTGTTCTCTACATCTGGACTGCTTTTCTGTTTTGTAGGGGACTCTTATCCTTGCAAATTACATTCCCAAACTCCTTTGCCAGTTACCTTCGACAAAGGTTCAGCCAAGGTAGACACTGTGGGAGCATGGGTAGGAATGCATTGGAGAGAAGACTGGCTACTTTCCCTCTTTCTTGTTTTACTCCGTCCGTTCAGTTCAGTAGTGTCTCTAGTAGTAATGGGTTTCCTCTGTGGTTCCCCCCCTCTCCTGCACAAGCCACACTGATTTTAGTCACCCTTCCCAGGCCCTGAGGATACCCCCTCTGCAGTGGTCTCTGACTGTAACACAGGCAGTACAGTTTCCGGCTTGGTTTAGCAGTTGTCTCTCACGTGGACCACTGATGAAGTGAAATCTCTGTACGAAATTTTTACCACAAATTGTCTTTCAGGCTGGACCTCACATGCTACCAATGTGTGCAGTCTGGTTAGCTTTTCTTCCTTAGATATCTTCAAACCACAGGAGTCGTCTGCTTTCTGGTTTTAATCACCATTCCTTTACTTCATTCATGTTTGCCTCTCCACCCCACCCCCACCCCACCCCCCTGTGGTTGCTGTCGATACAGCGAAGACGGTTGCTAATCAACACGTTCTTGGAGAGTTTATAGTCTTGTGTGGGAAGGAGATAATTTAAAAGTTCTTACAGAGCCATGGAGGAGATAACCAAAAGTGTGGCCCTGTCTCAACTTGAGGGGTGATGAAGGCACACTTCCTTGAGACCCGAGAGATCAGAAGCTGGTCAGGCAAAGGAGGGCAGTGGCATGACGGCTCTGAGGTGTGGTTGAGGAGAAGGTTTTCAGTAGAGGAATGAGGGAGAATACAGCCAGAGGCATCTAGAAGAGTAGTTCAAACTGAACTTGACTATGAGAACAGGTGTGTGTGTGGTGGGGGGGGGAGGAAAGACTTTGTGTGCCTGAAAGGGCAGGGTTGTACCACGGAAGAGAAGCTGGGGAAAGGGAAGTGAACTCTTGGGCTGGAGAAGATTAGGGTAGGGGCGGGGTGGGAAGAGCTGAGAGGAGGCACCGCTTTGATATGCTAATAGACACCACAGTTGGCGGTTGCCCTGAGGTTCTTTGAAACCTGACGTGGAAAACCTGGGTGGATTGTGAGGCTTGATGAGGAAAGTGCCAGTGTTGGGGAGCCTTAAGGGCAGAACTAAGCTTGGCTATGGCAGCTGTAGCTCTTGGGCACGAAGGTTGCAACCCTGTTTTCCTTGTAAAAACTTCAAGGTGAGCATTCTAAGTCTCAAAGGCCAGGTTTGCTCTGGGTCCCACGGTTTCATATGGTAACTTCTCAAATACCTTGCTTGTCTTGGTTTCTGGAACTGCCCGTTGGGTACCACTGCCTGTTCCCTTTCGAATTTGCTGTTTGTCTGCTTCTCCTTCATCTTTGAGACCCTTGGGTTGAGACCTCTCCTTAGCTCTTTGCTCTACCGGCTAGCTACAAGGCACTCTGGTGCACCCCTTAAGATAAAAATGCCAGCTCCAAGGATGCCATCAAGGAGAAACTGACAGGGATCAAGCACGAATTACAAGCAAACTGCTAAGAGGAGGTCAAGGACCCCTGAACCCTGGCAGAAAAACTAGGTGGCAGTCCTCATCTCTCTGGAGGGCAAGTTCAGTCTCTGCCTGGAGCATCGAGCATTCCCAGACCTGCTCCGTTCCTTTCCCACCAGGCAGGAGGGGCTAAAGGATCCCAGCAGGGAGAGGAAAATCCCTTCATCCCAGTTAATAAATGTTCCCCCCCTCCCTTGGACTCTTCTCCTTCCATCCCTGATAGTTCTGGCCTTCCTAAACAGCAAATAGCTTAAATAGCTTCCCCCCCCCCTTTTTTTTTGAGCCAGGATTTCTCCATGTAGCCCTGGCTGTCCTGGAACTTTGTAGACACAGGCTGGTCTTTGAACTCAAAGACATCCTTCCGCCTCTGTCTCCGAGGTGCTGGGATTAAAGGTGTGCACCACCACCAACTGGCCCCAAACAGCTTTTGATGTTCCAATTTGCTCTTAGGGTGAAGCAGCCCAGGCATCCAGTTTAGGGGGGAGGCTATATTATTTTTAAGGGCACCCTTACTCCCTATCTCTCTCTCCCATGCTGCCCACTTCCAACAGCAAAATTGACTCAGTGCTTGTCTATCTGTTTAGTTCTGTGTGGAAATGAAACATTGTGGAGATGACCCTCTCGCCTGCTGCTCTCACTTTTGCCTTCATCCTGGCTTCTCTTGGAAGCAGGACCAGTAA